CCTGGCCCTGGGTCTCCAAGGAGAAGCCACAGGTGCTAATGGAGGGTTGGTACGTGTATAGTTTGTGCCCTTTCCTTCTTTCTAGCGCTCCCTGAGAGTCTCCCTCCTACAGTGAGCCCTTAAGCTCTCTAGGAGAGTAGACCCCAGCCAAGCAGCCCCTAAAAAAGGGGGCGGGGATCCCCGTAAAGCCCGCGCCAGGGCTCGCCGACACCAGCAGGCAGCTCCCTCCTCGCGCTCCCGCTATGCTGCGCCACCTCTGGGGGCTCCCATCCCCCACCCGAGCGCTGTTTCCCTGGCCCGGTCCCCTGCGAGCAGGTCACGGGCAAAGGACCCCGCTCCCCGCCCGCCCCGGGCCGCCGGGGGAGGAGGCTTCCCGGGAGGGTCCCCGTGGGGATTCGGCGCAGGGGCCCGGCCCGGGCAGAACGGGCGGGCTCCGGGCGGCGCTGGCGGCGCTGGCGGGGCGTGGGCAAGGCGCGGGAGGGAATGTCTGCGCCGCCCCAGGACCGGCCTGGGCCGCTAGGGAGCTGCGTCCCTCCGCGCCCCGGGGCGGGAAGGGTGGCCCTACCGCTGGGGTCGTGGCGGCGAGCTGGGCCCGCGATTCAGGGCCAGAGAGTGGGCCGGCCGTACCTGATCTTGAAGTCCCGGTTATAAACGGTCCGCAGTCGCTCGCGATCTGTCTCCATGTCCAGTCCCCGAACGACCAGGAAACTCTCGAAGCATTGGCCAGTCTCCCGGAGCTGCCGGCAGCTGAACTTACTGGGCATCGCGGCGGCGGCTGCGGCCCAGGCAGGAGGGTCCGTGGAAATGAAACTGAAAGTCGCCGCCGCTGCTGAAGTTGGCGGTCTTGGGATGAGGGTACAACAAGGGGAAGCCCCCTAACTCTGACTTCTGATCCTGCAGGCTCCCTTCTCCCCACTAGGCTTCCCTTCCACGATCTCTTCCTACCTGAGCCTTCCCTTCGGTCTCTTTTTCCTATCCCCTCCCCCTCTTCCCATTAACTCTTTCCTAAGGAGTCTGACCCCTCCCTCAGGGCCCTCCCCTTACCCCAAGCTCCCTCCCCTGGCATCTAGCCAGACTCTGAACGTAGCTACCGCCTGGGGCCCCCTGTACAGCCCTGGAGGTTCTCAGAATCTCAGCTAGGACTACGCCCACGCCCACCCCCTAGAGCCTTGGGACTTACTGAAAAGCAGGAGAGCAAAAGGGCAGGGACTAGGACCTGGATCGGCTGCAACTGGACTGGGGCAGCTTATCCAGAACCTCCCGGGGCTGCCCGGGACACAAACTGGTATGGAAGGGGGAGACACACCTCCCTCTCGCATTTTCGCTTCTCAGACTTTCAGACGCGGGGAGGAAGGCAGAGAGTCAAAACAACAACAAAGTTAAAAAAAAAAAAAAAAGAGTCGAAGTTTAGGATAAAGAACCAAGTGTCTCTGAGATAGAAGTGTGTACGTGTGGGAGGGAGGGGACAAGGGGCTCTGCCAGGACTAACCGTGAGTACTTTTCTCTACCACACAAGCTTCGTTATGTGGAAAGGCTGGTGATCTTACCCGTGAGACACATATTCGGGCACTTAATTGCACTGCAGCCTGTATTGCTCTTTGATTGTTCCTAGTATACAAGGGCTGCCCTAGTCATCAAAACGTTAGCTCCTTGAGAGCACAAGAGAGTGTTAGGCAATAAGTGGTTAACAGCAAGAACATCAGTACCAGGAAGGAAAGGAAAGGACCAGATTGCTTCAGAAGATAGACTATTACAAACTAAAGGGGGTGGGGCTACCACAAAAATAAACACAAAACAAGCCTTTGCATCTATGTATCCTCCCGAATGAAAACACACACACATAGAATGGGACAAAGACAATAAAGTTATATAAAATTTTTTTCTTAAACAAACATAGCAATTCCAAATATACCAAATCCAGTGTCTCCAAAGTAGGTCTCTTCAGGAGGCTACACAATCTAACCAAGTGTGAGGAATGTCCACAACCCAGATCATGCTCCAGCTGGGCTACCTTTGTACCTTCTCCCAGGCCAACAACCAAATAAAGCCAGGAATAACAGCCTTTAGCAACAGGAAGTGCAATCAGTGGGAATCAAAGTCACAGGGATGGGGAAAATGTTGTCTTTGAAATTGACTATACAAAGTAGATGTGAAAAAAAAAACAGAACAAAACAAAAAACTAGCAAAGTACCCGAAGATTTTACTTTTGTTCAAAGATTTTACCTGGTGAGGCCCAAAGAAGTGAAGATGAATTCCTCAAAATTGCTTTGTTGCTTACCATACTGAAAACCTACCATCTCCCATACCCCATTTTTCTGGACACATAATCTGGATGTTCTCAAAACATACACAGGTAGCTATAGTGTAGTAGAAACCCCTGAACTTGTGTCAAAATGTGATGCTATACGGCTCTGGTTAACCATGGAAACTCTCTAAACCAGCTTCATCTGAAAAATCCATCCACTTCACATGGGGTTGTAATACTTATTTTCACACATGCTTTTCTGTGTGTCCAGAATGGCCTTCCCCTTCCTATCTTTCAACATCCAGCTCAGGTCTCACTTCCCTGAAGTCTTTCCCAAAGCTATGGGCATTTATGAGAATCTGACTTTAAAGTACTAAGACTGATTTTAGTGTGGGTCCAAACAACGCTGAAGTCCATCTCAAACTGTGGCACTGGTGTTACTGAAATAACTCTCTATTCTCTCAAGATCACTTTGGAGAAGAAAATTAGAGGCTCAGTAAATTCTCAATTCTCCTTAGTTACTTGGTTTCTACAATTCAGCATTTGAATCTTCTCTAATTATCTGTATTCCAACTAGACTGTACTCCCTAGGGCAACTAGAAACAGCCCTTAAAAAAGCAATGTATGCAAACTAAGACTTTGTGACCATAGTATTTAAAAAAAAAAAAAAAAAGCATGAGCAGGAAGAGAGTAAACTTCAAATTCTGAAAACTGAAATTGGTCAGTATTTCTACCACAGACCAAAAGAAAGGCTATGGCAGGTATGTCTGTGTACCTAATAGTTTTTGTATCTTGGATTTGAAGAGGTGGGAAAATTGGTTTCTGCCCTCAGAGGACTTATATCTACCCTTTATGTTTATATATGCCCTGTCTGTTCAAAGGAGAATTTTAGCTCGTCTTACCCTGTAAGAGATCCAGTTCTGTTCTGTATTTTACCAACCTTCCTTTATTTGATTTCCCAAGTAGTAGATAGCTGAACTAGAAGGTAGTCATGAGTATCTGGTTCACTGGATAGTTCTTTATAAAACTGTAAACTCATAGGAGATATGTACCAGTCTTTTGTGAGTTTGGATAGAATGTGCTAAGGTTCGTTCACCAAGTGTCTCGCGAACCTAGATGAGTCCAGCATCAAAGTTCTAGATTATAAAACAGAGAGCAGGCACTAGAACTTGACAACCAGCAGAGGCACAGATGAAACAAATAGCCTTCAGCAGTGTCATTTCTAACTCAAATATGTGAGCGAGGCCCCACAAAAAACTCCTTTTCATCTGGCTGGGAAACTTTTGCCCTAGGACATCATCGGCTGATTTCTGCAGTATGTGATAAAATAGACACAATTTAAGCAAATATTCTGCTGAGGGAGGCTAAGGAATTCAGGGGGCTCTGCAGGACTTGGTAAGGAGAGCTGACTTCCTCCCAGTTATACAAGTAACCAAGGGTTTTAGATGGCCATGAAGAGTTTTACAAGTCAGTCTGGACTAAGGAAATCAATGGGACAGCCTTGGGGCAGGCTGACAGTTAATAAATTAAAAGGCAATGGCAAGAATGTTTGAGTCTTTTTGCATTACAAGTTGAGTGGAGCAGAGCTAAATGTCCCTTAAAAAGGTGAGAATTTGAACTGGTCTAGGGGGAGGGTTGTTGTTAGGTGGTGTCCAGTAGGTTCTGACTGATAGCGACCCCATGCATGACAGATTGAAACGCTGCCCAGTCCTGCGCCACCCTCACAATTGTTATGTTTGAGCCCACTGTTGCAGCCACTGTGTCAGTCCATTTCCTTGAGGGTCTTACTCTTTTTCGCTGACCTTCTACTTTACCAAGCATCATGTCCTTCTCTAGGGATTGGTCTCTCCTGATAACATGTCCAAAAAAGCTTCTAAGGAGCATTTGAGTTGTACTTCCTCACAAAACAGATTTGTTCGTTCTTCTGGCAGTCCATGGTATATTCAATATTCTTTGCCAACATCATTCAAATGCATCAATTCTTCTTTGGACTTCCTTTTTCATTGTCCAGCTTTTGCATGCATATGAGGTGACTGAAAATAGCATGGCTTGGGTCAGGCGCACCTCAGTCATTAAACTGACATCTTTGCTTTTTAAGATTTTAAAGAAGTCTTTTGCAGCATATTTGCCCAGTGCAATACATCATTTGATTGCTTGATGCTGCTTCCATGGACACTTATTGTGGATCCAAGTAAAATGAAATCTTTGATAACTTCAATATTTTCTGTTTATCATGATGTTGCTTATAGCGCTCAAACTCCCTCAGGTTCCCTTGGGAACCAAGATAAAAGCCTTTCCCACATGTCTAAAGCTAAGCCAGACTGAGATGGGAGGGAAAGCAGCATTCTGAGTTAAGCCAATGTGAAATATTACCCAAGTTCAAAGTGCAGGGATTTTTTCATTTCTACTTCCTGCCAAGTGACTATAAAAATGCTTGGTTCTTGCTTTCCGATTGGCTGGGAGAGAAGATAACTAGATTTTTCTTTTTGACAGAAAAGGAAACCCAAAAACAAAATGTTGAACCACTGGTAGCTTTTGGGTAAAGAGTAGTATAACCCACAGAGACACCGCTCAAACTAAAAAAGAGCTGTTCTTTGCCAGTCTTTGGGGATTCACTAAGTCTATAACAGTTGCAGGTAGGAACCAATTTCATAAACCCTGAACATTCTCATCAAATAAGATCAAATACAGTTCCATATCTTACCTTGAGAAAAACGGCTGAAGAGATGGATTGAAAAGGAGAGACTCAGACAGGTTTAGAACAAAACAGGTATATTTGTATTGGTCTACCTGATACAGAGGACAGTGTGGTATGGATGGATAGTATGAATGACAAATAATACAAATATATTTTATTTGAAATAAACAAAAATGCTTACACAGCTCAATGGGTCACTTAGAAACACTCCTGCTTGACTGTATTACTGAGCAAAAAACAAAGCTGAAGCACAAACATCCTTCTTTTTTGACATATATTTTGAGATAGGTAGGAAGACACTACTTGGTTTTTTAAAAACTGACTTTCCTTTAAGGCCTGGTCATAGAAGTGTAAACAATGTAAATGAATCCACCATTACCAGTTGTCATATCATATCTATGTCACCTGTGTATTCTGAGATCAAACACAAATACCTGCCAATATACCTGCGAAGGGCTGCTATATCACAGTTACATTTGAGTTCTTGGCAGGCAGGACTGAAGAAGAGAAATTTGGAAACAAGTTTTACATCCTATTTAGAACAAATCACTAGTATTCCCTTAAGTAACAGGTTACAATAGAAAGATACTGCCTGGAAGTTATCCTTCTCACTTTGGTTCATTTTTAGTTTTTATTTGTGATTTATGTAGTTGTTTGATTCGTTTGCTTATCCTACAATCCTGCCACAAAGTATTAAAGCATAATATACTTATTATTCCTTCAACATCTGCATTTTTCAAGTTTTATACATACTCTACTACATCCACAGTATGTCAGCAGTTCTTGAATATTAAAAAAAACAAAACAAAACATAAATGGGTAACGCTCTTCTAAAAATGCAGATGTTTATAATTACAATGGTACTAGATGGGAAGGAGACAATGAGGGAAGGGAAAAAAGAAACAAAAACACGTTCATGTGCAGGGAATGTGGTTCAAGTCTTTGGATTTAAAAACAATTTTCCCAGAGAAGCTGGGTATAATGGAATTTCCAGAAAACTTCCTCTGCCCCCTCAAAAGGATGTGAAAAGCCCCAATTCAAAATTTTGAAATCTACAGTCATGAGATGCCGTAAGTGGTGATCAAAGCAGCTGAAGGGAGAAGGATGAATGTGTCTTCCATTTAGCTATAGTTTGTAGCATAGCCTTTTTAGCTGTTGGTCTATCAGCAAAAACCACTGAAGTACCAGAACTTCTTTGAAGAATAGGGGTAGAAAAGTACTGAACATATATTACCATCTGTATCTGTAACAGGGCTTCATGGCTAGGAAAATTTTTTAAACAGTAAAATGACTCCAAGATAGAGCTCTCTCTCTCCAACATTAAGTGTGGCAGGAAAAAAAAAAAAAAAATTTTACAAGTAGATATAGTGACAACAGAATATTACAAAGTAGAGAACATAAAAGAATTCAAACAATGTTATAGGTTCAACAGTATTCCATGAGGCTAGAAAACCTGTTTACTTTGAAAGCCCTAGCAAAATATCACTCTTGTTTATAAACCACTTATTTATCATATGACCACATGTTGAATCCTTTTTCTTTTCCCCCCTATGTACTGAAGAATCTTACATTCAGCCTTTAAGCATTCTGCATTTCTTTGCCAATCTTGTAGCTGAGTATCTTGTTCCAGTCGATTTTGGTGCGAGTAACTGGCAGCTGCCGGCGCAAGGCCTTGAATGTGGTGTCTGACATTGTTTGATAGTTTTCACTAATTGCTGTCTGTAATAGATAATTGAAGATGAGTTGCTTGAACAGAAATGAGGTTGGTTGTGGATAGTACACTAACTCTGTAGTCAAAGGATATGCTTGAGTCCCCTATGAAGGACAGACAGGACTTATTATTTCTAGCGGGCGCCTCTCTAATCTCTTAAGTGAGTTAAAAAACCCACCTAAATTATTTCTAAAACTAGGGCCACCAGCCCAATCCCAACACCTTGATTATAAGGGCAATACAAAACTGTAAGGTCTGCAAAGTCTCCACAATTAGTAACACTGAACAACATGTATATTTATGTTAAAGGACACAGATCTAACAAAAGATGTTAAAAGCAAAATAAGGTCCTAGAGCTATTAAAATTAGTTCCAAATCTTCTTACCTGATACTCATTTTCTGCATGCTCTATGATTTTAATAAACTCCTTGGCAGTCTGGACTTCATTCTAATGGAGGGGGAAGGAGGGGAAAATATGAACATTTTTTTTAAGGTATAAGCAGTGAATAAAAACTACTACAAGTCCACCACAAATAAGGTTTGCATAAGAATTTATTATAGTTTATGAAGTGTTTCTAGGTGCATTGCTTCCTCTGGTCCTCACAACTACCATATGAGGCAGGTATGTTATTATCATCACCTCAATTTTGCAGATCAGAAAACAGAATCTCCTTAAGTGACATGTCCAAAACTATACAACTTTTGAGTGATAAAGATGGGATCTAAATCCAGGTCTTTGACAACAACAAACACACACCTCATGCTCTTTCTACACTCTACCACAGTTATGTCCAAAAGCCAACATTATGAAGATGCCTTGAAAATATTTCTGGTTTAAGATGATGTTAATGATCTCCTCAGAACATATCAGTAATATATATAAACTCAAATACTCCTCTATTTGCCACTTAATGACACTAAATCAGCCAATCATATTTCGCTTTACAAGATTTAGTTATAAAATGGAAGAATCTCTTCCTTTCACTATTAGGTACAACAGAATTGAAGGTAACGGTAAAATTCAAGGCCTGGAGGAGCAGATGTCATAAAGTGTAGCCCAGGGACTCCAAGGATCCCCAAGACTTTCAAGGGGGCCCTGCGAGGTCAAAACTATTTTCTATTTTCATTATAATACTAAAATATCAACTGTCTTTCATTTTTGCTCTCTCATGTATGTACAATGCAGCTTCCCAGAAATTGTATGACATGTAATGATTCTATGACTCTGAGGGCTAATGAATGAATGCAGGAGATGAGAATCCTGCTGTCTTATATTAAGCCAGACATTAAACAGATTTGTGAAATTACAAATCAGTGCCATTCTTATCACTATTTTTTACTTCTGGTTTGAAAAGTATCAGTATTTTTCATAAAAAAATGTTATTTATATTAACAAGTAATGGGCTTGCTACTGTTATTTTTAAATGAATTACACAGTTTGAACATTTTTCAGTTTTAATTTCTCATAAGGAAAATAAATACTGGTAGATATAACACACATAAATAAAAGCTCTCTGGGGTCCTCAATAACTTCTCAGAGTATAAAAAAGTACTGATACTATGCAAGAATGAATGCAAGAACTAATTATGCTCCTTCTTTCAAGGTATGGCGCATAACACTTTCTGACTGAATGCTCCTAAAAATGTTCAGTTTCTTAATTCTAATATTATGAGTGTAGCCCTATAGAGTGTAGTTTTGCAAAATTACTCTCCTTCTGGTACTTATTAATAGTGTTGCTGTTCTTAGCAAATTTCACAAGAGAGAAAGAGAAAGAAGTCTGTATTCTCTAAAGCCATTAACACTATTCTGAGACAAAGACTGCTGTGAATTGATAATAGCTGGTTGGTTGTATACTGTTATGCTAATAACAGTAACAGCTACTAGTGAAAGTTGCCAAAATCAAAACCTTGAAAGCAAATCGAATTTCTACTGACAGAACAGCATTCAAGCTCAAAAATAATTTTTTTAGGAGAAACAAGGCACAGTGAGACAGAATTTAAATATATTCTACACTCACCGAAACAGTTACTGAATCCTGTACATCTTTATGACTAACCAACTGAACATTGCCATCTTCATAATAGTGAACCTGTGTGAGAAAATGTTTGAACAAGTTATGTATAGTTCATATAGAAACCTACTGCTTAGGGCACAAATCCATATCTTAAGCCATCTCCGAATCTTTACCAACTCTGAACAAATGATTAATTAATATGATCAATGTAATCCACAATGGTGGTAATAAAAATTCACAGAACACCTTAAGAATTCCCTCTGTCCTTAGCAAGAAAAACTGATTATTAATTTTAATTAAGTTCAACAAACATTTATTAAGTGCTTATTACATTCCAGGCACTGTGTTAGGCATTGGGAATACAAAGATTTAAGATCCCGCTATTATCAGTATTAAAATGATTAAAATCAAATAATTGAACATTAAATTTTTCTCTGTGAAAACCAAGGAGTTCTGACAAGTCCTTAATTCCTAAGGAGGCCGGTGGTTCAAAACCACCAGCGGCTCCGTGGGAGAAAGGTGTGGCAGTCTACTTCTGTAAAGACTACAGCCTTGGAAACCTGTGGGGCAACTCTACTCTGTCCTATAGGGTTGCTATAAGTCAGAATCAAATAGACGGCAATGGGTTTGGTTTGGGAATTCCTAATACCTGTCACATTTCATCATATATATTATAATCAATATTGGTAAGTGGATCTGACCAGATACAAAGAAAGCTTGATTGAGGGTTAAAGGCAAGACTGAAAAATAAATATTTTATCGGTAAATTAGACTACAAAAATAAGATAAAAGCAGCCCTTAAGATGTAAGGAAAAGGACGTGCTATAATTATGAGAATAATTAGCAAGAAGGAAGGGTACACAAGAGACAGACTAACACATCAATGACATGCAAGGCTCAGGAAGCCATGGCAACTTAAAAGAGGTTCAGTCACCTTAACATGGCTACAAACTGGCCATACAGGATAGGATGAGGCTATCCTTTTCTTCTTTGTTAGGTCCCTGGGTGGCACCTATGGTCTGCACTTGACTGCTAACCTAAAGGTTGGTAGTTTAAACCCATCCAGTGGTACCACAGAAGGAAAAGTCCTGATGTTCTGCTTCAATTAAGATTATAAGCAAGAAAACCCTATACAGCAGTTCCACTCTGTGACACACGGGGTTGCCATGAGCTGGAATTGACTTGATGGCCACTAACAACAACAATCCTTTGGTTAAGAGCATTTTAACCAAGTCTTGAAAATAGTTATTATCTCAGTAGACAAGGCAGAGAAGAGTATCTAGTAGATGGATAAAAGGGTATGAGAGAATGAAGCACAACTGGCTTAGTTTAGGGAAGAATAAAGAACTCACTGTATATGAATATGAGTATAGGGGAGTGTGGCAGGAGATACTGTTATGCAGTTAGAAACAGACTGTGAAGAGTCAAGTGCCTTATAAACTATGTTAAGAATTCAGATTTTATCCTATTATAGGTGATGGGGACTCGGAAAGGGAATGTTTTAGACAGATTATACTTGCGCTACGAAAAAGATGAAATAGAGAGAGCTAAAACTGGGGGTAGAATGCTAGTTAGTACAGGTAGTACTTGTTTCCTGCAACTTGTCTATACTACCAGTATATGTTTGAACAAAAGGAATGTTTTTAGAGATTAAAGCAAAAAAAGGCTGGGAGAAAAGTGGAACCTGCACTGGTACAATTATTTACTGAGTATTTACTATGTGTTAGGCACTATGCAAATAACTTTACATTATTACTTATAATATCTCATTTAATCTTCACAAAAACTCAATGAGACAGGGACTACCACAGTAAAACTTTCGAAAGCTGAACCTGTGTAAGGTGGAAATCTGTCAGAGAAGGAAAACTCAAACATTTTCCACTAAAAAGAGCGATAGAAAAGTGGTGAGACTGCACTCTGTCAAAGGTGGAAAACTTGCGAGATCCTGAAAAAGTAAGGCAGTCCCCGTGAGTTCCAGCTCTCACAGGTTTCACTGTACTAACCCTATTTTAAAGATGAGGAAACTGAGGCTTGAGACAATTTAATAACTTACCGATGTTCACATACCTAGGAAAAGGAAGAGATAGGATTTGAATCCGATCAAATTCCAGAGCTACAACCTTATTAGTCATGCTCATACTAGTGGCACAGTGGTTAAGTGTTATAGTTGCTAACCAAAAGGTCGGTACTTCGAATCCACCTGCAGCTCGTTAGAAACTATGGGGCAGTTCTACTCTGTCCTATAGGGTTGCTATGAGTCAGAATTGACTTGATGTCAATGGGTTTGGTCTTTTATACCTCCCAATGCTATGTTTTGTCAAAAAGTTGGAAATTCCCTAATGCAGGTGGAAATACAGTTCCCTACTAGGGCCTTACTCTTTTGAGATATCATTAGAAGTGGATAACTAACAGTCAAGCTCCATCTAGACAGAAACTATGATGCTATTAGCAACAAAAGGACTTCCCTAGGCAATATGAACCCATAAAATGTCCTTGTTTAAGGGATGAAAACAGGTACCTTTCTTACTGGGGACAAATAGCTAGCTCTGTCCAGACCAGCAAGAGAAGCTAGACTTCCCATATGCCCTCCAAACCCTTAAACTTCACCTTTTGGTTTTCTAAAAGAGGTTAAAGAAGAAAGACAATTTAAGAATGCACTATAGAAGCAGAGAGTTCATAAGTGCCTGCAAAAGTTAAACACAAAAATCAGAACAGCAAATATTTGGGCAAAAAAGATTGGGATAAACAATGATGACATATAAAGGCTAAAATCTCAACAGACAAGGACAAGGATATTCAAAATACAGGATAGATCACATCAAACGCTCGTTTTATTTATTTTATCTAATGGCAACTAACCTGAAGTCCAGCGGCTGAAAAGAACACTGGGAAGAGTAATGGGTACAGATAGGATGGGGATATTAAAAACTGGAAATCTGGCCAGAAAAGAAATAGGGATTTGTATACTTCTCAGAACCCATCTGAAGGAAGGAGATATGCAGAGCACATTCTTTTTGTCCAAGAATAAATACTATGCAATTAGTTAAACTTTCGTCATGTTTCTTAAGAACTAGGGCATGGACAGGAATATAGGGTAAGACTAGTTAAGTCTGTTTATGAAAACTGAAAACTCTAAAAATAACAATTTCATTCTCTAATACATTCATGATATAATAATTTTAGAAATTAAGCTTAAATTCTATCTATTCCAAAACAAAACCTTTCCTGGATCTTACCTGCTGATATAAAAATGGTTCCGTTAACTAATACAAATTTCAACATGATTATCATTAATGTAAACTCTGAGAATTTTTTTGCTTTCCCAGAACTATTCCTGTCTATAGAGTAGACTGAAGGGCTAAATATCTTATGACTTTTCCAAATAATTCTCACTCCGATTTTTAAAAATATATATAAATGAAGCAAAACCTTCCCAAAAGTGTGATCAAACAATCTGTGTTTAAAACATGTAAATGAGGGTCTGGGTACTGGACTGTTATAAAAGGATAATTAACCCATCACCCTTTGTGATGTATGCTGTTTATAGGTTTGCACTGGCAAAACGGAAACATAAATATTTCCTTCTAGAAGGAAAATATATTTACATAAATGGTGAATAAGTTGCCAAGTTAATGCTGATGCCATATTTACGAGATTTAAAGTGTTAGGCTACTCATAGATATGGTTAACAGAGATAGAACAATATGCTGTCTAGGTTAGGCTACCCAAGAAACAGACCCCAAGATAAATATTTGAGGGGAGGTAGTTTATGTGGGAGGTAATTGCAGAAGCACTAGTAGGAGCCTGAGGAAGTGAGACAAAGATGAGTGGAAGCGTTACAGGTGCATTAACGAGCAGGTTATAGTTGTAGGCACTGGGGATCTCTAGAAGACTACATAGAACACGATACAGAGTTGTGCCACCAGAGTGAGGAAGTGACATATTTATCTACCAACTCTTGTATGTTACTGAGGGCTGCTCCCAGAGCTGTGAACTCAACACTTCCAGCCTGCCTCATCATTGGGCATGCTCTTGCGGCCAGGAAAAGCCTCCAGGAAGAGAGATGCAGCAGCTTGTATTTGAAGCTATAGGTATGTATGGAAACAGCTGAGTGTAGACAGCGTCTACTACATACACTTTTTGATAAAATTATACTATTTAAAAAGACAACTCTTGCTAATTGTGATTTTTAAAACAAGACAATACAATGTAATATAGCTATACTCAGGTACTGACAGTCTCAGTTACCAGTAACTGTTTAGTCTGACTTTAGCGTTAGTCAGCCTTGAGAATTAAATCACCATAAATTTTTAAAGTCAAACCTCTGCTACAATATTAGAAGACTTCAATCCAGATAGGCATCAAATGTGTTACAGCTACTTTATTCATCTGCCAGTCTTTCCTGGCATGATCAGTAGTAATCTATTCTACTTGGCTATTTATATTCCATAAACTGATGACACCTGGCTATTCTCTCCAACTCCTGTTTTATGTACTTGGTTTTAAAACCTGTCATCACTGTAAAAAAAAACCCTATTCGTGTGGCTTTTTTCAGAGTTAAGAGCTAAACACACGCACACACATACACACACACACCCTAAGTAAGTTACACTAGCTGCTATACACCAAAACCAAACCCACTGCTGACTCACGGCGACCCCACGTGTTACTGAGCAGAACCGCTGTATAGGGTTTTCTTGGCTCTACCCTTTATGGAAGCACATCACCAGGCCTTTCTTCTGGGTGCTGCCGGGTGGGTTCAAACTGCCCACCTTTCCATTAGTAGCCAAGTGCAAACAGTCTGCGCCACCCGAGGACTTCCCAGTTGCTATAAACAAAACCCAAGACCAAACCTATTGCCACTGAGTTGATTCCAACTCATAGTAACCCTATAGGACAGAGGAAAACTGCCCCATAGGGTTTCCAAGGATCGGCTGGTGAATTCAAACTGCCGACCTTTTGGTTAGCAGCCGAATTCTTAACCACTGTACTACCAGGGCTCCAATATATAGTAACCTCTTAATAATTATTTCCTTCTTTCTTAACAATGCCGTCTGATAATTTTTGGAGGAAAAAAGGTTGTCTTTTTTTCACTTGTGAAGAGTAGACTGGAAAAAGAGAAAAATAACAAAGAAGCAGTATACTCCATGTGACTATGCTTTATCAACAGCTCTCTTTGCTTAACTGTGTCCCCAGGAAAGAGGCTTTTCTTTCTATTCACTGCCATCAATTTCCCTTTCCAAGTACATATAGGTGGTCCTTATTTCTAACACCAGAACAAATACCAACTTGCAGGTCTGGATTAAAGATAAGACATTTCAACTATGGCCTATTAACATGTTGAGATCTCACCTGAATTTTAAGGACTCCAACCACGTGAGCTGTAGGTGGTGTAATGGTGAACTTCCACTCTGATCTCCAACGACCATTCCTATTAAAACACACACACACAACACTGCAGAATTAGCAACAAGCACAAGAAAGAGGTGATCTGCCACTAAGGCAAAGGAGCTGGGAAAGAGGAAAAAAACAGCTGACAAATCCAAGGATCTGCCCATTCAAATACAAATTTTGATTTAAGTCGTCTAACTATAAGCCTTTTCTAAGTTGTTTTGACTTTCATTTTTTTTCTTAAAGTAGAAAACCATTCCTATTCTGTTCATGGGAGGCCCTTCCACAAACAGATGGAGCGGTGACTGATATGCAATTAACTCAAGTATTATTAACCTTAACCCAAGTAAAACTCAGGTTTCCAACTGGGCACTTTATTAATCCCTTAATCTCATTCAATATGAGGGTACTTTAAAAAAAAATGACAGATTATAAAGTCTTAGAATTCAGAGGAATCTAAATGATCATGTCCAAATACCTCATTTTAGAGACGGTGAACTGAAGCCTTTAAGTCAAATAACTTATCCTAAGCTAGTCAGATTAAAACCAAGTCTCTACTGGTTTGGTGGTTTCTTTCCAATGAAAACTAGACACAAATAGAAAAGAACTTTTACTTTCTTACCAGAAGTTTTTAGGTTGAAACTGGTGGCTTTCAATACATGCAATAATAGTCTGTTGTCCATCTATAGTTTTAGCATAAACCTATTGTTAGGAAAAAAAAAAAGAGTTAGACTCTGAAAACAATTTAAATAACCACAAACACTGCACAAAAGCAGTGTGCTAAATGCTTGGGGAAGACAAAGAATCAGACAGAATACGCTTATGACACAATAGAGTTAGTGGGATCTGAACACAAAGCAGAACATGCTAAGTTCTAGACGAGACAGTGGTACAATGAATACAGAGGGAAATATTGCTCCTGACTTAGGGTACAAGGGAGGTACCGTTTAGGCTGGGCCTTACAAGACAAATGATATTATGATAATCAGAGACTAAGAATAAAGATGGATAAACAGTCAGGCAGGAACTGAGGGCTTGATCAGTGAATCACAATTGGTTCTGCTAGGGTAGAGGATGTGTGTGAAGTGGACTTGTGAGAAACAAAATAGGATGGTAGATTTAGGTCAGATAGCAGATGTAAGAAGTTTGGACTTTATTCTACAGGCAGTGGAGAGACACTAAAACGACATGACCAGAACTATTATTTGGGGAAAATAATCAAGTATTGGTGTACAGATTAAAATGGAAGAAAAACCAGAGATAGGTTACGTGGTCACAGATTTAGTTTAGGTAATGAGCTAGGGTAGTTATCAACGGGAATAAAAAGAAGGGGTCACATACAGAGTACAGAAGTACAGTCAAAGTCTAGCAATATATTGCAAGTAAAGGGCAAAAGGAAGGAGCCAAAGTGATTGCACACTTGGATGACTAGAAAGTAGTGTGTCATTAACAACTCAGGAAATCAGATGGAAATGTTTGGCAAGTAGTTAGAAATATCAACCATCCTTAATGTGGGGGAGATAAATGGAAATGTGATCACCAAGAGAAAGCAAAGAAAATAGTCCTTTATAGTTTACAGAATGTTTTTTCACTTTTATTTTCCTTTTGCTCTAATAAATACAGGGAAACACATTACCATCATCTACAGATGATAAAGCTGAAGCTCACAGAGGTTGACTGAGTTGCCCAAGGTCACTCAGAAAGTACATGGTGAAGGTAGAACCCCAATCTCTCTTTTCTGACATCAAATTCTGCATTCTAACACCAAATACATCCAATATTAAATGGATTATGAGCTTTAAAGAGAGAGAAATGCTAGAAAAGAAAGCAGCACTGGGGAATGCCTACATTTACAAAGGTAGAGGAGGGAAAAGAAACGAGTAGACAGAGTAAGAATAATTAGAGTGTGCTGACATAGCAGCCAAAGCAAAAGATAATTTCTAGACGTAGCTCATTTGCCTCAGTATGAAATGCCATACAGAAGTCAAGGATTAAGAAAAGTGCACTGGATCAGGCAATTCAGGAACCATTCGTAACCTCAAAGAGCAGTTTCTGTAAACTGGGGACTGAGGCCAAAATTCAAAGGGTTAAGAAGTTGGTAGGTAATGAGGAAATGGAACTAGTAGAAGTAGAATGCTCCTTATTTTGGTGGTGAAGCAGAGAAACAGAAAGAGAGATGAGGGAAAGGAAGAAGTGGAGGAGAGGAAGGAAGGGCAAGGGGGAAAGAGGAGAAGAGAAGTAACTTATAGGAACTATTATGACTGATGGTAAGTTTTTTTCTTTCCCTTAAGGATAGGAGAAATAAGAATATTTCTAGGTAAAGAGAAACGTATTAGAAGAGAAAACAAAGCCACAAGAAGACGTCTTGAAGTAGGTGGAATACTATGCAATTAAGAATAAGGATACTTCTTCCTCAGATTCAAGAAAAGAAAGATTTCTGAATGTGGAGAGAACAGAAAGAAAAAGGTATCACATCAGTCTCAATCCTAGTAAAATGTAGGGGATTAGATATCTGTCTGAGAACAATGAAAAAGGTTTGAAACAAATGATAGAGAAAATTTGACAGGGAATAATGAGATAAAATTAACAATTACTATCAGGATAGCTGATAATGTAAGACAATCGTGTACAATTGTGTACCATTAGAACAATTCCAAGACTTTTATGAACTCATCTGATAGCTAAGAGAAGTAGTAAAAAAAAAAAGAGACAGTAGGTTATTTGGTGTTGGAGCTCTCCAAGTTAAGAATTTCAGAAAGTCGAGGGAGTGACAAATTTCAAATGGGTAACAAATGGTGAGTTGAAAGTATACTGATGGTTGAATAGTCAGTTTCTAAAAGGCGGCATGTCATGTCTCCCTTTGCAATGTTGGGTTTCCAGAAGAACACTGTACTTATCTACAAGAATGGATTCTCTCATTAAAAAAAAAAATCAAAGTTATAATAATGACAGCTAACATTCAAGCAGAGCTTACTATGTGCCAGACACTGTTCCAAGCACGTTACATGCATTAACTCACTTAATCCTCTGAGGTAACAACTATTATTTCCATTTCACAGATGAGGGAACAGAGGCACAGAAGTGTTAAATAATTTGCTCAAGATCACATAACTAGTTAAGTGGCAGGGCTTGGATTCAAATCAGTCAGTATGGTTTCAAAGTAACTGCTCTTAAACACTATTCTATACTGTCACTCAATTAATCATTACATATTTCAAATATTCTGACCAATTTTTTAAAAAATAATATGCCACAATCTTATAAAGAAGAAATGATAGGGCCAAATTTACTATTTTTAGAGCCAAGAGGTAGTAAAAGAAAATCAAATTACTGTTAATTTTTTTTTATTTAGTTCAAATACTTTTGACTACGCAATGAAAACATCTAAACTATGCAGAGGTAGCATTGTATAAAAAAGCCCATATCAAAAAGCCATAAATATGGCCAATGGCTCTCCAAACAATCTTAATTTGCCATTTTTACCCCATGTCTAAGCTATAGAACTTTAAAAACTTTTTTTGATGGGTGTAAGGCAATTTCAGATGGGCAAATCTAAAAATGTAAAGTAGAATACACTGAGTTTTTTTTTAATTTACGCATTTGGGTTTTTTTTTTTTTTGCATTGAGATTTTTAAAAAGAATTCTCCAGATGAAAATTTCCATTTATATCCTTTTCAGAAATGATTTAGGAAATAAAATGCAGAGAAGATCATAACTAAGAAGGAAGTGATGTTTGTCTGACCAAAGTCCCCAAAGGATAAGGTAAATAAAAACAAAACATTCTCTGATAATGAAGCAGGTACTTAACAGTACAGAAGCCGTTGGAATAATGATCTTTCACATAGGCCCTTAAAGCACTGTCACAGGATTCTCTCCAAGACTTCAGGCCTCCATCTACTTCCTCTGGATGGGGGTCACTTGCTTCTTTCCGTAAGTGATCAAATTTAAAGGAAATTTTGTTTCTCGGATCTAAAAATCTGCTATTACCCAGGTCACCGTGTTCTGTAATTAAGACCTTCCAAAGAATAATTACAAATATGAGTAACTCTGTAAAAAAAACAAAGTTTAGTGCTGCTTGTCACATCTTGCAAAAACAAAAATTTTGAGGAAGACAGTTAACTTTTCATTTTCTCAGATTTGTCTCTCATATTGATGTATCGACCAAATCCCATTTTTATTCTTAGAGAAAATATTGTATTTATGGGTAAGTCAGCTTTAAACTGCAAAATTTCCCCCATCCTAACAAAACCTTTCACTTCTTGAATTCCTTCTATATATTTCTCGTGTATAGTTTACACATAGCTGTAATTATTTACATGTACACTTGTGCATCCTACTTTTTTCACTTATCCTGTGAAACTTTTTCAGTCACACTTAGCATTTAAAATAGGTAATACATTCACATGGTTCCCAAACACACACACACACACACACACACACACACACACACACACGCACACACAGTGAAGTATCTCCTTCTCACCCAATCTCCCATCTACCAAATTCCTAAAAAATCTTTCCTGCCCCCCACACAAGGTAACTGGTTTTATTAATTTAAAGGGGTTGACAATCTCCATACAGGTACCACCTATTTTCGTAAACAGTTTTATTGGAACATAGCCCTGATTATTCATTTTTGTAATGTTAATGCCTCTTTTCCCACTACATCAGAGTTGAGTTGCTGCAACAGAGATCCAGTGTTCTGCAAATCTGAAAATATTTACTATCTAACCCTTTACAGAAAAAGTTTACCAATCCTTGATTCAGGGTATTCTTTCAGCACTTTTTAAAAAATACAAGCAAATATAAATACGTATTCTAATCTCCACTACTTTCTTTTACACAAAATTAGCATACTGTACTGTACTTTGCTTTTTTAAAAAACTTAATTAGCTAAGAGATCTTTCCATATTAGTACTCATAGAACTTCTTTGTTCTTTATCATACCTGTGTAATACTCCACTGTTTGGAGGTACAAAAATTTATTCAACCAGTCCCCTATTAATGTACGGGCGGATTATTTCCAATCTTTCACTGTTATGAACAATACTGCAATGAACGTCCTTGTATATATGTATCTTTCAGCACACGTGCTAAGTACATCTGTGGGAAAAATTCCCTGAAGTGTGACAACTGGGCCAAAGGGTAAACACACTTGTAATTTTGACAGAGAAAGACAAATTGCCCATTATCAGTCAGTAGAAATTTTAACTGGCATTTCTTTTTATCTTTTAAAAATAATTGTATTGTTGTAAAAAATATACATAACATAAAATTTGCCTTTTTAACCATTTTTAAGTATATAATTCAGTGGCATTAATTTACATCCACAATGTTGTACAACTTCATCTTTTTAAAGTCATTTATATTTTCTATTCTCTGAATTGTTCATATCTTTTGCCCTTTTTTCTACTGGGTTTTGGTCATTTTCCTTTATTTATTAGGGAGATTAACCCTTTGCATATGTTTTGAGTTCCACATATTTTCCCCTAATGTATCATTTGTCTTTGGACACATTTACCATTTTTAACAATTACACATGATCCCACAATATTGATATATCATAGTATATGACTGTTGCTTTATAGTATGTTTTTTATGTTTGCTAGCATTAGTCTTCCATTGTTGTTCTTGATCAGAATAATCCTTTTGGGCCTGTTACAATTTTCTTAAGAATTATATGAAATCTATTTGAAAAACACACTTTCCCATATCACTTATATTTCTTATTCAGATAAGCTTTTCTATTATCATTTATATTTTTTACTCAGAAATGTGGCATTTAAAGCTACTTAATTTTTTATTTATTTCTCTGATTAAAGTGTGTATGTGTGTAAGTATATATGAACTCTGTGGCAGACTCTGCTAGTTGACTCTACTCAATATCCACTCTCCCCTTTTTTCTTACTAACTGAACCTCAAACTCTTTCAAGGAGGCAATGTGACTAGCTAAAAAATTACACTTCTTAGCTAGGGATAATGAAGTGATATGAGTTCTGGCAATAACTTATCAGTGGAAGTTGTTTCTGAAACAGCTGGCAGCATGCCTTTTGCACCTTCTCCCTTCTTCCTTTCTGGAACATGGATTCAATGTCCAGAGATAGAGCAGCCATCTTGAGAGCATGACAATGCAAATCATACCCTAAGGATGGCAGAATAGAGAGCTATAAACAACCTGGGTCTCTGATTGTATCACGGAGCTGAAGTAACAGCCCTAAATATTACCTCTATACTCCTTATGTAGGAAAAAGAAAATCTCTATTTAGTTAACCTACTGAAGGTTTTTGTTTTGTTTTGTTATATACAGTGAAGGTATCTTATTTAATAACTCATATACCTTTCCTTATGTACCATCCAGGTGGTGCTACTTTTTTTTGGGTTTACTATAAAGAATGTGATCACCTTTGGCTACATTTTTAAGTTGTTACTGGTATATTGGGAATGCTGACAAAGTTGACCATTTCTTACATAATGTACCTGGACACAGATCTCATATTTTAATAATTCCTCTATTAAAGTATATTTAATAATTCCTGTATTAAAGTACAAAATAAGAACTGCAAGCAATATTTACCACTTATTTTCTAGATTTTTTTTTTTTTTGCCTTTTATGTTTGTAGTTAACCTATTTTCACTGAGAAAATTTAGATAAGCAAAAATATTAACCAACACAAACAAAGAAAAAACAAATTCCAGTAATCCTGTCACACCAACACATACATTCTGGTGTATATTTTCCTAGACTTTTTTTTTTCTATGCACATCTATACACTTTATTTCTTCAATTCTAAAGATGCATATTTCACCACATGATTTAACATTTCAGAAACTGGGATATATCCTACAATTGATGGCATCTTAGGACTTAGTTTAATTGGTTTTTTTTTTTTTCTTTCTTAGCAGTACATAAGATAACAGCCCATCTTGCACAGAATTTAAGATGCACTGATCTAATACTATATTTCTGTTCATCTAAATATTTTAAGAATAAAATTGGCATAATTTTATGTAGGTTGGTTTATAATGTTTTAACTTAACATATTATAAACATCTCCCCAGATCAATAAATATCCACCTATATCAATTTTCAATGACTGCAGAGTATTTTGGTCTATAGACAGTTAATTTAGAATACTGGACATTTAGATTGTTCCTAGTTTTTCACTATTGTAAATTTTGCTTTGAATAATCTCTTTGCACATTTCTACAATTACTTCCCTGGGATAAATTCTGTGGAGGTTGATTCAAAGGGGATTCAGACCTTTAAAAGGCATTGGTACATAGTGCCATATGGCCTTTGAAGCATGTGGTAATGTATTTGCAAATAACTATGGTAATAATGGGAATATTTCCTTTGCTCCTGTTTTTCAATAGAACTCCTCTGTTCCTCCATTAAATATAATGTCTCTTGTTATTCTTACCAGGGAGAATTAGGAACAGCAGGAAAACCTATAGACTCAATTTCTTTTATTTTCACTGTTCTTGTTAGGAGCAGCTCCCTTCTTGTCAAAGAAACTACTAGTATTATCAGAGACAGGAAGAACTTCTTAAGGTACAGAGTATCTGCAAAAATTATGAAAACTAAGAAATGAATTTATTCAGTATCTGATCTTCAGATATCTGCTTTGGTTTCTAGGATTTTTACTCCCTGCCAGGTATAGCCTACCTAACACAAAAATTATTACCTGATCTTCATATCCTTCTATCTTCACAGGTGTGAACTGATCCATGTTATACTGGGCAAATGCACTGTTTTTTAAAAAATAAAAAAGAGAAAGGCGGTGAGAGGGAGAGAAAAGAATTATGTACAAGCAAACACAAAAAGTAGTTCACAGACCAGTGGAAGGAAATGTGAAAACATTACCTGGTGCTTTCCCCACTTCTTCCCTAGACATCTAGTATCAATGCCTTCCAGTTTTCTGAAGGGACTCCTCTCCACAGAGATCTCAGAAGTAACCCAAGCTTTGAAATTACCGTTTCTTCTCCATTCCTAAGCTCCTATAGAGCTCCCACTTATACAATTTCTAAGTTTTAAGCAACCAGACTATTGTGACTTGCCAACAGTTTTAATCATTTAGGCAGAATCTTCTCAGTAATTCAGAAGAAACTTTCAAATGACACCCTATTTTGCAAATTTCTTCTTTATCCTGGGTTCTATGAGGCAGGCCACGGTGGGAGATAATAATTAAATGTACTGGAAGGCATCTGACATGGGAAAAGGCTGAGGTGAGAGTTGAGCATGAGTCTAGTCTCAGAGTAGAGTCTAAGGCACAGAGTAGAAGTCAAAAAAGGAACGAGGGTATGAATAAATATCAAAGTACATGCCTAATACTGTTTATTTGTTCAGTGCTTGATTTATGAAATTCTGCATTTTAAATGGCTCCCAAGTTCATGTTACAAAGTAAGCTAAAGTAAAAAATAAGGTAAATGATAAAGATGAAAATAAGCTGCAATATAAGAAAACATAATATATTTGTATTCTTGGAAAGTAACAGTTTTCTGACAGAATTCACCAGCCCAATTTTAACCTATTAAATACCTGCTAGACCACTATTTTTTTTTTTGGTTTGTTTGTTTTGTTTTGGCAAAAGTGTAAATATATGGGAATTTTATTCAAATCATTTGTGTAGGCACACTATTAACTGGTAACAATAAAACAAAAACAACAATAATGTTAGTTACATGCCAGGACCCTATTATAAGAGTACTACATTTATCATTTATTCTTCACCACAACTCCCTGAGGTAAGTACTATTATCCTCCCCATTTTTACAATTGAGGAAACAGTAAATAGACATCAGAAATACCAAGATGTATGATACAGAGCTTATATTACTTATAAATCATTCTGTTTAATAGCTGGGTCATAGAAGGTTATATTATATGAAAGACCACTAGTTTTCAGCAGAGCAATAGACTTTTTCCAGGCTTTTCCCAAGAAACCAAAGTAACAAACAAATGTTTCAATTTCTTCAAATACTTAAGGCTAATCCTCAATCTTTTCACTTTGTCAAAAGTTATTACGTTTTTTTAAATGAATCATTCCTTAAAACACCACATCCCCATGTAGCAAAATGAGTCCCAAATGCGCTGGCTTTCAGAAAGGAATGTAAATTAAATGTTCACAGAAAGTGGATTAAATCTATATTTTGTTTTAACAACTTAGGGAGTAGGGAATATATAAGCACTCTGTTACAGGATATGTCCTAAAGCTATAAATTACAAACACCAATACCAAAATTTGTTTACATTTATCCCCATCTCAAGTAAAGGGTATCTCCATTCTAACAGTTGTTCACGCCAAAAACTTGGGATGATCCTTCTCTTTCTCTCACACTTCAAATCCAATCCATTAGTAAACCTTGTAGGCTCTGCCTTCACTGAGTGCATATTCAGAATCTGATTTCTTCTTCCCACCACCTCCACTGCTACCACTCTGGTCCAAACCACCATCATCTATACCCATACTCATCTCACTTCAACCTTTGCCCCCCTACACAGCAGCCAAGAGAAATCAAAGTAACAATTATTTCAAAATGATTATTCTAAAATATAAGTCTCATCAAGTCACTCTACTAAAAACACTCTAATAGCTCCTGTCTCTGAAAAAAAAAAAAAATCCAGTTTAACACGACCGGGAACATCCTACTTTTTCTAGAAGGGCTGGGAATTATCAGGGAATGGATCTGGTGGTCAGAAACACATGCGAAAATCCAGGAAAGAGGGTAACTACTAGGTCCTTCAGGCCTCCCTCATTCTATATACAAAAAAACCAAACCAAACCAAACCTATTGTGGTCAAGTTGATTTTGACTCATATCGACCCTATAATACAGAGGAGAACTGCCCCACAGGGCTTCCAAGGAGTGCCTGGTGGATTTGAACTGCCGACCTTTTGGGTAGCAGCCGACTTCTTTAACCACTACGCCACCAGTTTCCCTCATTCCATATAGAAGGTAATAAAGGGGCAGAGCCAAGACGGTAGAGTAGTCAGACGCTTCTGGTGGACCCTCTTACAACAAAGACCCAAAAAAACAAGTGATTCGATTATATACGACAATCTCGGAGCCCTGAACATCAAAGGCAAAGTTGAGGAACCAGACTCAGTGGCAGAGGGAGGAGGAGATGGATCAGAAGCAGCCTGGAGGTGCCAGACCCTTCAGGCCTGATCAGCTTGGGGGTGAGCAGTGAGGCAGGCAAGCATCGGTGCTCGGGAGGCATATTCCGCACAGGGAGAGACCCAGCCGCTGAGAGTCTACTCAGCCATGCAGAACCAGTAAGAAGCAGCCCTCGATCGCCAAAAGATAAGTATTTGCATCCAGCCTACCATTCAGATCAAAAACACCCACCACAGGGAAAAACCTCTCTCCCATTTACCTCACCACTCCCTGCTCTGCACTGGGTCCCGGACCACCTTCAGCAACTGGTGAGTCCCTTGGGCCATTAGTAGGATCTGTCACACGCCCTGAGCCATTCCCCCAGCCTTGGAGAGTGAACAAACAAATGGGAAAAAATAAACTGCCAGCTCCCCTAAGCCAGGAACTCAGGGTAGGCACAGCTCCTTGGCCTAGACACAGGCATAAGGGATCCATGGACTCTGAGTGCTTTTCTCCCTGCATAGACTTGTGTGGGCCCATTTCAACAGCATAGGCCCTCATTACCGCACTACAACAGGGTATATACCTGAAATCTAACTTCAACTCCTTCAGCTGTGAAGTGGCAGGTTCGTGACATTTCACTCTGCTCTGCCCATTAAGCAGGGTCTTCACCTACCCACATCAGGGGCCTGAGGACTGGTGGCTCCACCCACACCAACTAGCCACCTGCAATAGGGGCCCAAGAATAAGAGGTGCCCCCCAGTCCTTATAGCCAACAGTACTGGGTGCTCATAGTCCGGCTGCAAAACCCACCCACCTACACGCTCTAGAAAACAGGGAAACGCCTTCCTCCTGGACACTCTGGGGCAGCCGTCAGCCCACTGCCTTACTCAGAGTGTGCCCCCCTGCTGCAGCCAGAAGCCTGTGCCTACACCAATCATCCATACCTGTCTAGGACTGTAGGTGAGAGCCTGCACAACACACTTGGTGGCTATCTATCTGAGCACCTGAACTGAATCCATACAGGAGGAGTGGGCGGACTCCTGAGCTCATATACCTAGTAACAGATCTAACCATCTGGTGATGGGACATCAAAGCTTCAAAGGTGCCAATAATCAAACTAGCTCACACGAGCAGCCTATTTGGGCTTATCAAAACAAAACAAGAAGCTAGGACACAGTAAGCAAACATAAAATAAACAAATATAATAACTTATTGATGGCTCAAAGACAACAGTCTATATGAAATCACAAAACAAGGCAGTTCATCATGATGGCTTCAGCAAGCTCCCAAAACAAAGAATCAAGAAATTTTCCAGAGGAGGAAAATTTCTTGGAATTACCGGAGGCAAAATACAAAAGATTAATATACAGAACTCTTCAAGAGATTAGGAAGGAAATTAAGTAAAATGCAGAACATGCAATAGAGGAAATTTAAAAGATTAGAGAAGAGTATAATGACAAATTCAACAGACGGCAAGAATCCATAGAGAGACAGCAATCAGAAATCCAGAAGATTAACAATAAAATTTCAGAATCAGACAACTCAACAGAAAGTCATAGAAGCAGAACTGAGGCAATGGAAGTCAGAATTAGTGAGACTGAAGGTAAAGCATTTGACACCAACTTATTTGAGGAAAAATCAGATAAAAGGACTAAAATAATGAAGAAACCCTAAGAATTATGTGGGATTCTATCAATAGGATTAACCTACGAGTGACTGGAGTACCA